TCACCATCTGGAAAGTGTGGACAAGTGTGCGAGGCAATCGACAACAACGGACCGTAGTGCTCAAGCGAGCAGATGGATTCACGGACAAGCCTGAAGAAGTAGCGGAGGAATTAGCGAAATGCTATAGTGGAAGATCAGCAACCTCTAGCTACTCTTCATCTTTCCAAATGGTTAAGACAGCAGCCGAACGAGAATCCATGGATCAAACACCGACACCGACCGATGATGTCTACAACATCGATATCACCCTTAACGAACTCCTGTGGGCCCTCGACAAAGGGCGAGGTGCTTCAACAGGTCCCGACTTAATTGGGTATCCGTTACTCCAACGTTTGCCACTGTCCGTGAAAATGACGCTTCTTGAGCTTCTTAACAGAATCTGGGACGAGGGTGTGTTTCCCATTAGCTGGCGGAATGCTGTCGTCGTACCCATTCCAAAACCGCACTGCAACGACTCCGGACCTGATGCCTTCCCTCCAATATCGCTCACCAGTGCATGGCGAAGCTGTTCGAGCGGATTCTCAGTCGTCGATTGACCACCGAACTAGAATTGAGTGGACGTCTTGACAAACGTCAGCACGCCTTTCGTACAGGCCGCGGCACTGATACCTATTTTGCCGAGTTGGAAAGATCGCTGCCAACACACGACGAACACTGCCTGATAGCCTCCTTGGACCTGTCGAAGGCATACGATACTACCTGGCGACACGGAGTTCTGCGCACACTTAAATCATGGCGATTACGTGGTCGGATGATGAATATGCTGCAAAGCTTTCTTTCGGAAAGGACGTTCCAGGTGTCTGTAGGAGGGCATATGTCTCGCAAACACCAGTTTGAAAATGGAGTACCACAGGGTTCTGTCCTATCAGTGACTCTATTTCTCGTTGCGATGCAGCCTATCTTTCGGGTGATACCGAGAGGAGTCGACACTCTTCTGTACGCGGACGACATTCTCCTCGTCGTACGAGGGGCAAAAAGTGAAGGACTACATCGCAAACTACAAGCCGCCGTCAAAGCTGTCGACAAGTGGACGAAAAGCGTTGGATTCAGCATATCAGCAACAAAGTCCTACATTTTTTATTGCAGTCCGAATGCACGTCGAGAACCTGGACGTAACATCGTGATAGACCGAGTATCCATCCCGAAGACAAACCGTTTGAGAGTCCTGGGTGTAACCCTCGACCGAACTCTGAGCTTCAAACCTCACTGTCAAATGGTGAAGGAAGCGTGCGAACCTCGGTTACGAATCCTTCAGATGATCGGTGCCAAACTTCCACGTGGCGATCGAAAATCGCTACTGCAGGTGGGATCGGCCCTAGTGACCGCGAAACTGATGTACGGTATTGGAATAGTTAGCCGAGGAGGACCAGTAACACTGCAGAATCTCGCTCCAGCCTACCATAAAATGGTACGGTTTGCTTCCGGAGCCTTCGTCACTAGCCCGATACAATCGATCATGGCTGAAGCCGTTCGAACTGCTAGCAGCACAATCCATCGCACGAATTGCAACTCGGATACTAGCAACGAATCAGAACAACAACAGTCTCCCTCTCATTCGACGAGCATCGGATCGCCTCAATGAGCTGACAAACTCAGCGCTCCCCGCTTTCGGTCAACTCAAGGCAGACCGATCGTCCGTGGCACACGATCCTGTGGGACGTTAAAAAATGTGTACGAGCCGGCGATCCTCCAGAGAAAGTCCGCCCCGTAGTGCAACAACTACTGTCGACCCGCTTCCACCGATCAACCGTCGTCTACACCGATTGATCCAAACACGAAAACACAGTAGGTGCCGCATTCCATAACAATGGTTTAGCGGGAAAGTACAGCCTCTCAAAGGAATGTAGCGTTTTTTCTGCGGAGGCGTACGCCATTAAGGTAGCTGTTTCCATTCCGAATATTTCGAACGAATTAGCCATTCTTACGGACTCTGCAAGTTGTCTCCAGGCCTTAGAAGCTGGAACATCTAAGCACCCGTGGTGCTACCCGATGATGCGCTGAGAATGGTGATGCAAAACATTCGCCAACGATGGAACGACCAATGGTTCGCGACCAGAGACTCCAAACTAAGAGAAGTCAAAGACGACACGCACAAGTGGACGGAACGGGGAAGCACTTTCGACCAGCGTGTGCTAACACGACTAAGAATTGGTCACACGCGGCTAACCCATACGTACTAGTTGAAGAAGGAAGCCCCGCCCAGTTGTTGTGGAATGGTTTTAGACGTGCGACACGTGATTTTGCAGTGCAAAAAACTATGAAAGGCAACAACAAGAGAACGACATTGACATTACAAGCTTGCGAGATGCGTTAGGAAACTCTGAGGAGCAAACCACCAATTTGCTGAATTCTCTACGGCAAACTGGACTGTACCGAAAAATTTGAAGGATGCAGAGAAAAGAAGAAGGAACAGCCGGAACCCGGTGTAGTGGCAATGAAGGTTAAGGAGATAACGGAGCAAGCAAGGAAGGAAAAATGTGAAGAAGTTGGTTATGAAGGTTATGCAGTTAAGAGAGCAAGGAAGGAAGGAAGAATGTGAAGAAGATGGAGTAGCCGAAACCCGGTGTAGAGGCAAGAAGGTGAAACAGTTCCCTGATCTCAAGGAAGGAAAGAAGAATATGATGAAGGCAAACATGTAACTGGATGAAGATCAAGTAAAGAAAGTGAAGGTCATCAAGAATACAAAGCGGATAGCGGATGGAAGAAAAATAAGAAGAAGAAGATCAAAAGAAAAATTATGATGAAGTAAAGGCGGAACGCAAGATTAAGTGGAAAAATACGAAGAAGATCAAGAAGATAAAGTGGAAAATAACAAAATGAAGAAGACGACACCGATGGAAATCTGGAGAAATCGTGAAGACGTGGAAGAGGAAATCAAAGCAATGGAATTAAAGAAGGATGAAGAAAGAATATGATGAAGAAGTAAAGAAAATAATTTGAAGTATGGTGAGAAGAAAGAAGAAGATAGATCAAAAGTGAATGAAGAAGAATACCATTAAGCAACAAATGATCAGAAGTGAAGAAGATATAAGAAGATGACGCAGCCAATTCAGCAAGATGAAGGAGACTCGTCAACAAAATAACAAGAAACGGACGAAGGCTACGAACCAAAACGAAGATGATGCAGAAATAAGATGAAGAAAAGGTAGAAGAAGTAAAAGTGAAATTTACTGAGAAGAAGAAGTAAAAGAGATGCAATGTTATGATCAACGATGAACCAGAAGGAGACGAAACAAAGCTATGTGCAATGAACCATAAACACTAACACTCACACCCACACATCATTACACTAAACTGAAACAGACATGAATGCATCTATGGATGTAAAATGTCTTAAATAAATACAAAAAGAAAATTATTATTATTATTATTATTATTATTATTATTATTATTATTATTATTATTATTATTATTCACATCTCAAGTTTATTGTTTATCGCATCTCAACTAAGTCTAGATAGAGCTGGAATTAGGGCGTAACAGCTTTTGTAAACAATGACTTCTGGCGATGATTTCTAGGAATTCAAGGCACGCTCACGTAAACCAACAAAACCATCGGGTAGGGTAAGTCTTCCCCTAACCGATGAAGATGATGGTTTGCATGGGCGAGCCTTGACTTTTTAGAAATTATCTAGAGAAGTCATTGTTTGCAAAAGCTGTTACGCCCTAATTCCAGCTCTAGCTAGAAGTGTTCTAGATGCACTTCTACAATTATTTATAGAGAGCTTTCGATGCCTATACCATTTTTGCATTAGTATAATTGTGTGTCAAGTAAAATCATACTCTATATGCCCAGGAAAGTCGACAAATTTTCCAATCCGAAAAATTCCAGATCGAGAGTCGAACCCAGGGACCTCTAGCATGGCCTTGCTTTGTAGCTGCGCCTTTACCGACTGAGCTAAGGAAGGTCCCAAATAATTTTCTTAGAAATCGCTTAGTATTTGTTGGCTCTTAAACTTCGTTAAAAAAGGTCTCCTATGCTGAAGAAAACTGTGTCAAAAAGACATGTGTATGACGTTCAGAATTGATGTCAAATTAGACCAAAACAATTGTAAATTTTTGCGTTTTCTTCACAACCTTTTCCATGAATGTTAAACCCACTGAAATCATGAAACAATTTCAAAAACTGCGAAAAACCTGTTTTGTCACACTGTCCAAAATTTTGAAAAAGACCTAAATCTAAGATCATTAAAGTAGCTTAAAGGATTGTTTTTTTTTTAAGGAGTTAACTTCTTAAGAAGACATGACATAAATAATTGAAGAATATTTTTCAATTTTAAAATATTCTTTATTGATTTGGAAATAAAAAAAAACATTTGTTTACAAAACATTTTTGATACAGTCCTTATGTTTGACACTTAGTTTGATAAAAGAGGATTTCATCTGACGTTCAAAATGTCAGACAGAACTGAGAATGCTTTAGCAGCTGAGTTTTTACCAAAAGAGAAATTCGATGATGTGAATCGATCAGTGCAGATGGGATCTTTTGAAAATTTTATCTAGAATTGAGTTCATAATCTTTGGATGAACACACAACCGGAGACAACCAAACTGTTTCCTACTAATAGTATGGAACTGCTGTTTGGAATCCTTTCTATCAAAATAGAAATGAGTGAATAGGGTCAGTTCAACGCATTTCAACGGTTATCCTGGAATGATCATCATAGATCCCCTCCTTTTTTGAGTAACGAGGTTCTTTTGATCCATCTTGATCCTTTCAATTCACTTTTAACTCGCCAATTGAGACACAGTCTCAATCCCGAACTTTGTGATAAACAAATATAAGGCATTAAAATACGAAAAAAAAAAAATGCTAGATTTTATAAAATGTCAACATTTCAGTAATTGCTTTTTATAAACAAATCCTAAATCCTTAAATCCTCAAAGCCACCACTATTGCATCTTCGCAAATTGAAACACAAATCATACTTAATTCAGCAATTGAATCAACATCCGTGATAGAAGCAAAATAAAAAAAAAAAAATCCCGCTCATACTTACATAGTTCTGCACGAGATCCGGATGGTTCCGCTGGATGCCATCGTCCAGAATCGACACCACGACGCCTTTGCCCGTGTAGCCCTTCTGCCACGCTGGACCAATGTTCATGTCCAAACCATCCTTGGCGCCACCATTCTGGATGCAAAGAGGGGGAGAGAGAGAGAGAGAAGCAAAAATAGAACATTGAGTAAACAGTAAAAAAAAATCATCATATCACAGAGCCTATCAAGTCACATCGAGCGACGTAGAACGCAAATTAAAACAGCCCATTAGCAATGCGATATGGAATGCGATTAGAATTTGTTAGTGCGTGCCGGATTAGATTTGCTTATTTTATTTTTTTGCTAGCCTGCAAAGCTCTTTGTTTTCGTTGGATGGCTCGGTTAGTGTAAAACTCATGGAATCGATGTGGGAAAATTTGAGCACACAATTTCACATTATTATAGTTTAAAATTGAAAACGACCTCGTTCATGGGCCGGGCGGACTTGTTTCAAGGACTCTGCACAATGTGTTTTGTCTGTGTCTGCTTTTGTTCGAATGGAGTGGCATGCTAATTTCGACACTCAAACCAGAACTGAATGAATTTTGAAAACCATACACTGCTCCTCGTGTTCGTGCTACAACTGCTGCTCTACACTTTCTCATTTGCACGATCCTACATCCTCGGAAGTGGCAGCAGCATGGCAAGAGCAGTCCCACACAAACACATGAAAGCTTTAGATAAAAATATAATTTTCCTATGAATTTAGATTATCGTAAAAAACACTCTAATGCGATGTTCATGATGCTTTCACTCTAAGGTTTTTCTTTGGCCTGGCTTTCAGCTGCAAACGAAGGTTGAACGAAGCTGTGTTTATATTTCAGTGGCCTGAAATGAGCTGTACGATTGTGGCCTAAAGGGAAGCGCTTTTCTGGTTCAGGGTGGCCTCAAAACCACGCTAATGTTTTGGAAGAAGATGGGAAAATTGCCATTATGATAACATTTTAAGAAGAAGATGGGAAAACAAGAGAGTGAAAACGACATCCCTCAAGGGTTAGACAACATTGCATCGGTGTACATTCCGAAAAATTCTGAAATCATATTTAAAAGTTCAGATTGACCTTGACATATGAGCTGCTAGTCCACAAAGCTTAACAGCCAATAAGATACCCTATAACACCGCAAACTGCAACACTCTACCATTAGGACCAGCTGACAGAATTCAACATTCAAACTCTTCCTCGTCCTTCCTGACATCACTTCTCTCCTGCTGCTGCCAGAACGGTGAACAATGAAAAACACTGCTCAACTCATATGGGAAATCCTCTAACAAAGCCCCGACACTCCTCACAAACTTGGTAGGGGAGCACTTTTCCGACATCACCGGCCGGAAACGAGGCGGAGACGCTAGCGCTCCTCCCACCATGAAGCATGATTCCGAATTAAATGGAAATGAAGAGCTGAATTGTTTCTGTATAAAATAAAAATAAACTTTAGAAAATTACGAGCAGTTTGTTTCGAGATTTCGCTGCTTGCTTGCTGATGGAGCTCTCATGTGACTCGAAGACATGCACTCAAAAAGCGTACAGTGCTCTATTTAAGGGGGGAACGAGGGTGTGATGAGCCGCTTTTGTGTGGCTTCTTTTCGCAAATGTAGAAGAGCTTTCATGGGAAGCCTCGGGCGAAGAAGTCAAACGTCGTCGTCATCGCCGTCTAGGGACAACGGCGACGGGCTTTTGTGTATGAGTGATGGAAATACATTTTCCTCCTCCAACAGAAAAATGAGCAAGAAGAAGTTCGGGAAATGCTGGTGCAAAAGTTGACGGACCGGAGCTTTATTATATTGGTGGTAGGGAGTGAATCCGAATATGTTGCTGAAAGAGACATAACCTTACCCAAGAGAGAGAGAGAGAGAAAGGGTAACATGAATGCGATGATTGTGGCTTTTCCGACAAGGTTGATTCTTCAACTTGGAAGTGAGATTTGTGGGTCAAGCTAGGTAGCTTAGCAATTGAAATTGAGGGAATGTCCTTGTGGTGATTTATACAAAACGTTTCAGAAGTTCTGTGAAATGGCCATTGCATGAGTAGATTCTAAACGCGATTACATGAGCTAAAATCCTGAATTTATCCTCCAATGGTGAGATTTGACCCTTCTCACTTATTTCATTTCAAACAAAATTGCTAGAGTCCGCATTTAGGGAAGTAAGGTTAGATAATTTTTTAATGATACGTGGGTTTGGGTTTGAATGTTCATTAGACTGATGCAAAATTTGACTTTTTCGCTCCACAGTGCTTAAATGGTTTCAAATCGGGTCCTGATTAGCCTCCCAAAGTTACAACTCATTTGGTTAGAAACAGACTTCGCACAAGCCATTTGAGGTTTACATGTAAATTACTATGGGAAATCTCAACTTTTTGTTCATTGCCTTCTAGTCTTTTTCCATATTGAGCTGCGAAGCAGTTCGATAGCCATTCTTATAGAAAATTTTCTTAGCTACAACTTTGCTTAAGATCGTTTCTATGTAAAACGAGACAGGAAAAAGTTATTATTTATTTAAGAGATTGGTAAACTTACGACATGATCAAGCAGCTGCTCTGTAGGCAACACTGTATTTCGCAGTGTGACATAGTAGCCATGATTTGTGTGTCCTATTCAACGCCCCAGGAACACCAATGTTGCCTGCTGAGCAGTTGTTTGAGCATGATCATAAGACATCAGCGCATTGAACCATTGGTAACTTTCGATCCTTGCATTTAATCAAAAAGCGGTTTTCAGCAAAGTTCTAGCTGGGAGAATTTCCTACAAGTGCAGTTGAAAGCTTTTGAAGCAGACCGATATGGTGAATTATTAGATAGACATAAACAAAAATCTTGGTTTTCCCATAGTAATTCCCATACAAACTTCAAAAGGTTTGTGCCATCTCAGTTTCTCACCAAATGTGTTCAAATTTTGAGATGTTTGTCAGGATCCGATTTGGAATCGTTTAAGTATTGTGGAGCGAAAATTTCAAAGTTTGCATCACTCTTATGTTCATGCAATACGATTTGACAAATGGTAGATTTTGGACAGGAAGCAATCGAAACATACCCGGTGCAAATGATCAAGTATTTTAATGTTGATGTGATTTTAATTTACGTCAGATTCAGACTAATTTCCCGGTGCAATCCGGAGCTTTTGTGGTCATATTGTTATAATTGAACTTTCAGGCGCAGTGTGGCAAATACCTGAAAAAAAACCTGGAAAACCTGTGATTATCATGGAAGAGCTGCAAAATCCTGGGATCATCCGGGAATTGTGACATGAATTTGAAAATTGATGTAAAGTACGTTCATTGGAGTTGTTGAATCTGTTCATATGATTTTAGTTTGTTGACTGAGTTTATCTGTATGGTGCCAAGTTTTGAAAGTCTACAAACTTGTATTCTTCAAAATTATTCGGCTGATAACCTTGAAAATTCTGCAGATTGTTTATTGCACGTTAGAAAAGTTTATGAAATCTCATGAACATTTCCCTTGACGAACTTCGTGTTATATGACGAACTTTTCCAACGCTGTTACAAGATTGAAATTTGTCTAGTCCCAGAATAATGTTTTTGTGATTTTCGGATTATGGCTCAGCAGTTTTGGTTTCCAATTTTCTCGGCTGGACATTTCGATCCTGGAGCGAGAGCGTCGAAGCGATTAAATCGAAGTTCGTTTGGTACTTAATCTGTTTGTCTGATATAATAAAGAGCTTTGCATGTATTGATGAAAATGTCTTGGATTGTTAACTGTGCCGTATAATTATATCGGTTAAAGATATTAAGAGAAAGCCATATAGTATTTCATTAAGCGACTCCAATGAGTTTTTTAAATAAATTTTTCTAAACCAAAATGTATATTTTGGTGTATAAATTTAAATTTCATTCTACTGGCGTTCAAAAGCTTACACACATAGAAAAAATTATGTAAATTTAGGTACTCTGAGAGTGACATATATGAGCGTCAATTTTGACATAAATTTGAGTCATAACAGACGTGAAATATAGCTTCATCAAACGTACTTTTCGTCGAGCAACGAACATTTCAGTCTCAGAGCACTTAATCCCAAGTAACATTTTAAGTTTTATGAAATACTACAAAGCAACTATAAAACAGCATTCATAAAACTCTGGTCAAGGCTATTTTGTCATTAATGCATCCACCAAAACCTCATTAAGACTAGAATATGTCTAGTTGGCCTACCCTGGAGAAGGTTCTGAAGGGTGTATTCTAGAAGCTCTAAAAAGATTGATTTACTGCAAAAGGTTGAATGACGAACGCATTTAGAACCATTTGAAAGCTACAACAAAAGCTATTTAACAACAATAAAAATCCTTTCCAAGCAATTTCCCCTAGCTACTTGCTAAATCCGATAGGAAAGCATCAATCAAGATAGAAAAGGATTTATGAATCCGATCTTATCGAAATAATTTAAATAGAAACTGATGGTATAAAAATCTTGTTGAATACCAAAATTAATTGCAATAGTTCTCATAAAGTGGCCTAGTTTTAAGTGCCTCATTGAATTTTATGTAAAATGTACGTGAAAACATCGAAAAAAGTAAGTCCACCCTCGTGAAACGTCGATTTGACTAATTATTTTACATTGACAAAAATAAATCATTCTTCAGATCGAGCTAGACCGAATTTTTTTTTTGTGATTTTCGCATTTAAATGTTTGCTCATTGCTAAATTTACCAAAATATGGTTATATCCAAGGAACTATAGATTGAAAATTTAAGATTGTAAAAAACAAGCAAACTGATTGTAACAAGGCGGTGGCATAAAAGTTGATGTTCATGGGTCATTTGCGAAAAAGTTGTTTTGCTTTCAATAAAAATCCTTAACAAATTCATAAGGTTTTAAAATGGCTTTTATGAAGAAAACTTGCAGGCTGAATGGAATTTATCTATAGCCATTTTGCTTGATCCTAACCCGTTCAAATTTATGGCAGCATTTATGGAGGCGAAGTAGCCTGCAAAAAGTTAAACGTCAAAGTTTGTTTATCTTTCGATAGTTGCGCTGTGAGATACAGGATTCTTCCAGGCGGCTTTCTGCCGATGGATTGGGAGCAGTTAAGGCCCACGCACATTAGATCCGGATCGGACGCGTTGCGGCAAAGTGACAGCAA